TTTTTTTTTTGATAATTCAATTTCCAATTATTATGGTATTTATTTAGAGCATCTTTTTTTTTCGCTAGCTCACTTATCAGTTATCATTTTCATTCATTTTCATTGATAAAAATATCTAATTTGGGATGCTTTTTCTCTATTATACAAATAAGAATAAGAATAAAACTTTTTTCAAAGATTATTTAAAAAAAAAAACACTTCGAATTACATCTTTTGCTTATTTATTTATTGATAAGGTGAAATTTAATGAATAACTGTAAGGGAGTATTGAATTTTTTTCCATTTTTTAGAATTATAATTATTAATTCACTTAATGAATAAATTATAGGCTTTAGTTTAGTATTATGCTAACATTTTCTTGTAATTTAAATTTCTTTGTTTTATTTCTTGCTAATCAATTTTACCACTTTATCAGTGCACATATTAAACAGCACTGATAAGATTATAGAGTACGTTTTCATTGATTTATATCAGAAAGTAATACTAAATCATTACGATCGCTCACTTTTTGCTCTCTTTCCTCCTTATATGTGCATTCTTTGCTCACAGATTTTACATTATTTCTAACAATATTAAACTAACCTACACACCTGTAATTAATTATATCTCTTTTTCATATTTCATCCTCCAATTTATTTCACAATAATTACAATGATGAACAATTTTGTATCTGTTGATGGAGAAAAACAGTTATTTCCGATTGAAAATTACAAAAAAGGTTTATTTCTTTAATTTAGCTTTTCAATTTGAAAAACTTTTAGCAAGCAGAATTTTATTTATTGAAAGTATTAATTTTTATAGAATCATAATGAAATTTGAATTATTCTTTGCATTGTTAAAATGTCAGAGGAATTTAGCTGTTAAAATGAATTTTAAAAGATTTTAGCTTCTATTTCATAGGTACACATATATGGTTAAGGGATCCGGAAAAAGTATGGATAAATGGTGAATTATTGGATGATCTCAAATTTACCTCAGGAAATCTTGCACAACTAAATGATGGACAGGTAAATTATTTGATATTCATTTTGTTTGCTTCATTTAATTGAGTGTAATCATTTTTTCTTGCATTAATTATTGCTCAATTTTCTTGCTTTGCTTTGCGTAATAATTTTTTTTCTTGCATTACTGAGCAACGCAATTTATTTCAATTTGTAAGCGCACTATAATTAGCATAAATTGAATAGATTTTTTTCTTTTAGGTTATAGAATTTAACTTTGAAGAATCGGATGAACCTCCATTCTTATGTAATCCTGATATTTTACTTGGTTGCGATGATTTGACAACATTAAGTTATTTGCATGAACCTGCCGTTCTCAATCATCTTCGTTTTCGATTTATTAGACGAGAAGCAATTTACACTTATTGTGGTATTGTTTTAGTAGCTATTAATCCGTATACGAATTGCTCTCAACTTTATGGCGATGATGTTATACAGGTATTTACATCTATACCACCATTCAAAACTATCAAAAAGATTATTGAGAGTAATGGGGATGAAATTTTTATGAATTTAAGCAATTTTATTTTCAAAAAATTTTTCTTCTAAATACACTGTTATATAGGTTATTCTGTTATATTTGTTAAAAGTTTTGATTAATTCATTGGAATATTTAATATAAAGATATATCGTGGTGTTGGTAAACAAGTTCGAGAACTTGATCCTCATATTTATGCTGTCGCGGAGGAAGCATTTTTCGATCTGTGCAAATTCGACAAAGATCAATCTGTAATCGTTAGCGGTGAATCTGGCGCTGGCAAAACAGTTTCTGCTAAATTTGTTATGAGGTTAAAAAATGATGTTAATTTTCAAATGACTTTCTTTAATTACATAGATAATATGATTAAATTTCTCTGTAAAAATTTCAGATATTTAACATCGGTAGCTTGCTCTTCATCGAGTAAATCATATGGTAATAAATCGATGGAAGGTATTGAAGATCGTGTTCTGGCATCAAATCCAATTATGGAAGCAATTGGAAATGCAAAGACAATTCGGAACGACAATTCTTCTCGTTTTGGAAAATATATACAAATTGATTTCAATAATCGTTTCGGTATTGCTGGTGCTGAGATGAGAACTTATTTGTTGGAAAAAAGTCGTGTCGTATTTCAGGTCACTAAATAAAGTTAGCGTAGAATTTGAATGAAATTCAGCAATTGTTATAGCACTATCAAATCAAAAATGAGTTTGTAGTTCGACTACTTTCAGATTTTCTGATTACCATTACATTGTAGTCTTAAAACTATCATTATTTTCAAATCTGACTATTAATTCTCATTATTTCAGGCAGACAACGAACGGAACTACCATATTTTTTATCAGATTTGTGCATCAAGATCTCATGCTCTCATGAAAGATCTCGAACTAGGTATCAATTTGATATTTCAACTTGTACTTGCTTATAACGTATTAACAATGCTAATTATCTATCATGAGAAAGGATATTTTCAGTGTGTTTTATCATCTTAGTTCGTTCAAATTAGGAGGAGAAATTATTAATGAACTTGCATGTGTTAAGTACTTTTTAATAAGTCAAATTTTATCTCTCTTTACATCATTTGATTGTTTTTTGAAACTTTGTTTATCACATTTTTTCTGACTTATTAATTAATTCTATTTTGGATTTACAAACTTATTTTATTTCTTGAAATTTGATAAAGGATTGAAAATAAGTTGCAGATGATTGGCATTCGTATTTTTATACGGCTCAGGGAAACAGCGGTGAAATCGAAACAGTCGACGACCGGAATGATTTTCAGCAAACATTGGCTGCGCTCGATCTTTTTCACATCTCAACTGATACTCAGAAGTCAATATTTCGTTTCTTTGCAGGCCTCCTTCTGTTTGGCAATATCACATTCACTGATGGATCTGATGAATATGCTAAAATTGATGTTAGTTCTTTACGAATTACAAAACAACGCTTTTCACATCATTAACAAATTTTTTGATTCTACAGTTTTGATAAAAACTTAATTTTGTTCATTTCGAAATTATTGTTTTATTGTTTTTACTTACTTATTGTAGTGCTTTATAATATTTGAGATGAATGGAACTTAGAACATAATTGCCCTCTTTTTGTACCAATTTCACGTCATAAAATGTGTTAGATTGAAATTTAAAAAGTTTTTAAAATTCGGTTTCTCTTTGGGACAATTTGATCGTCAACCTTTTATGAGGAGTATTTGAAATAATAAAGAATTGAAAAGTCTGTAGAACCAATTGTTTGTGTGTGATTCCTTCGAATTTTATAATTTTCCGTTTTCTCTAGCGGAATAGTTCGAATGAAATCAATCAATTATGTGAAAAGATTTACGAAGTAAACAAAGACGATTTATGTATGTGGTTAATTGCTCGCAAAATTGTTGCTGGCGGTGAATCGGTTCAAAAACCATTGACCACTGCTGAAGTCAATTTTTTTCTTAATTTCTCTATTATTAAACTTAACTTTTTGAAAATCTTTATCGCTATTTTTTCCGAAACTCGATTTATTATGTTCAATTTCAAGCATACGCTTACGAATTAGCGAGATTTTATAAATTGATCTGCAATACAAATAATCTAATAATAAATATTTAAAAGAAAGAGGCATTCTCGACAGTGTAGGTGTTGTAATGATTTTTTGAATTCAAGACCTCTGATATATAAATCTTTCACGAAATACTTGAGAGCTAATCTTCTATATATTAAGATAAACAGATCTTACTATGATACATATCAGTTTAAGGTTTTATTACGAAGATTACTTAATTTCTGTTTGAAGAAATGAAGTGAAATTTTTAGAATCCGATTATGAAATGCATAATCTTGCAATTTTAAAGGCAGTAGAACGCCGAGATGCACTGGTTAAGATGCTTTATGCCTCAGTATTTGCTTGGATTGTTAAAAAAGTAAATGAAGCTTTGAGAGAACCAATGAAAAGTAACAAATCTAAGAACACTGGAAGATTCATCGGAGTTCTCGATATTTATGGGTTAGTGCGAGATTTAGCTTTAAAAAGTTAGCACTTTAAAATTTCTGATTTACATTAAGTTTAGAATGAATTTGGCGAAATCTTTTCAAAATTTTGTCTTTTTATCCTGATTGGTTGGGAGTTTCTTTCGATCTTTATACTGATTGCAGATTTGAAACCTTAGAAGTCAACAGTTTCGAACAGTTCTGCATTAATTATGCGAATGAAAAGCTTCAGCAACAGTTTTGTCAGGTTAGCTTCAAACGTTTCCTAATAAAAAAACGTATTCCATATTGTCTGATTTTACCTAATCAATAATTTTGGTTTGCTCTGTTGGAATTTATCTTATGACTACTGTTGTACACACAGAGTGTTCTTTTCTAACAATGCTATGCAAATAATTTTAAGAGTATTTCGTATTTTATCTGCCTTGCAAGCAAATATTGCGAAATTAGTAGAGATGAGAAAGTGAATACTCTCGAGAAAATTTCGAAAATTTGAAATTTGGAAGCTTAAATTTGGTAAAGGAAAGAAAGAGAATTGAAGATGGATAAATGAGAAAAAAAGCGATTGTGAAAATTTTGTCGATATATTTTTTCAGTAAAATTTCAGCATGTATTCAAACTTGAGCAGTTGGAATATGAACGGGAAGAAATTGATTGGACACGGATTGATTTTTACGATAATCAGCCATGTATCGATTTGATAGAGGGCAGACCTGGTATTATTGATTATCTTGATGAGCAGTGTAAGGTGCAGTTTTAAACTCAATGAGATTAAGTAGATACAAATAAAAAAAATGTAATTGAAAGTAAATTACGTGTTAATTACGTCCTACACATATTCTAAATTCTTATTTACAGCACGATTTTGGATGTTGTGCAAAATTTGAGTATTATAAAAGTAAGTTATTTAGATGGGTCAAGGGAGTGATCGCAATTGGTTGGAGAAGTTACGAGCATGTCAGTCGCTTAAAAAAACTCAACATTTTCAATTACCGAAGATAAAAGTATGACTTGAAATGTCACATTATGCATATGTTTTTCTAAAATAAATTTGTAGTATTTTGTTGTGAAGAATTTCTTTTTTCTCAGAATCCAACATTCGTAATCAAACATTTTGCTGCCGATGTTACCTATAATGTCGATGGTTTCTTGGCGAAAAATAAGGATACAGTAAGCGAACAGCTGATGTCTGTTATGAAGAAGAGTAAGGTTAATTATAACAACATTAATTTATTGAAAAACTTCTTTTTTGATTATCTGTTTATTTTTTTTATTAAGCCTTAGGTATTGGCTGCTTTAAGATACCTTAGTGCTGATGCAACCATTAAGTACTTTTAATTTGGTGGTAGTATTTTATTCAATTTAATATGGTGAAATAAATGACTTTCAATAACACTGTCGTAGTTTTTGACAAAAAATCAGTTTTACTTTTTAATGTGAATTTCAGTTCTATTTGATGCACGAGATATTAGATGTTGAAAGCGACAAGAAACCGTTGAGAGATGGAAGTAACTTTTCTATATCTAGCATTAAAAATTCGATGAAGAAATCTGTCTCTTTCCAGGTACATTTTTAGTTATAACTTTTTTTAGTAATTTTATGGCATTTTTGAGTTATAAATTGAGTTCTTCACATGGTTGAAATAAAAAAAGACTTTGTTTTGACATATGTTTATTTATTCTATTATAACGATCAGTCTTTTTGCTTATCTCTGAGTGCATTTTTTTGTTTTAAAGTCGAATAGGGAAGGAAAAGAGAAGTGGGATTTTTTCATCTTTTATTTTCAACTGTTCAAGTGGTAAGAATTTTAGCAGAAAATTCTTTATGATTAGTAAGAAATCTCTGCTAAAATTAGAAGCTTTTGCTTTGTTTTTGAAAATAATGCATACCCAAATATATTGTTGAGCTATTTTTTTCATTATTTCTGAGAAATGTTCCAATCTTATGGAAATCAGACTTGAATTTAGAATTGACCTGATTCTATCCTTTTTTTTCTATCCTTAATTCATTATATTTAAATTAAAATTGCAGTTTCGAGATTCGCTACGTGAATTAATGGCAGTACTTAGCACCACACGACCACACTATGTACGTTGTATCAAACCGAATGATGAGAAGTTACCGTTTACATTCAAACCTAAACGTGCCATCCAACAGTTACGAGCTTGCGGGGTTCTGGAAACAGTGCGCATATCTGCTGCCGGATATCCTTCAAGGTGTGAACAATACTTCGACTTGTTACGAATTATGTGAATCAGGCCTAGATCATAATAAAACTTGTCAAGGCAGATAACAGAATGAAATTATTTTTTTATGAGAAGTTAAAAAAAATATTATTAAAGTATCTGTACCCTTTTTTGTTTGGCAAACATTTACATAATGGTTGCAATAGGTTTACTAAATTATTCAAATTTATTGCTAATTGCAGTTTATTTTCAGGTGGATGTATGAAGATTTTTCTCGAAGATACCGTATTCTTTATCACGAGAAGAAATTATGGTTTGAAGAGCCAAAAATTTTCGCAGAAAAAACATGTAGTAAATATCTTGAGGTAAATTTTATTGCATGCTGTTTTTTTGCAATCTATAACAGTCACTTGCGGTAATCTTTAAAATTTGGCTTTGCACATGTCGCCGTTTTTTTTTCATAACTTTGCACTCAAATCTTCCAAATCTCCTTTGTCTTGCCTTGCTTCTGGGAAGACATAACTTTTGGTAGGCCTGATCTACTTTGTATATCAGGTGGCGAAAAAAATAGATTTCTTAAGACAGTGCTTCTGTTTGTCAGTTATGTTTTTTAAAATTATCAATAGTATATGCAAAACTATTTCGTTATAGAATAAAATGTATGCTTTGGGTAAGACAAAAGTATTCTTTCGAACTGGACAAGTAGCTCTACTGGAGAGAGTACTACATCAAAAATTAACAAATTCAACAGTAATGATCCAGAAGATTTGGAAAGGCTACATCTGCCGGAAGAGATACCAACATATCAAAGAATCGCTTCTTAAAATTCAGGTTTTTTCCATGCACTTATAATTTTTCTCTCAAATATGCTTTGTTTTTTATGGAATAGAATCAATACTGACTAATTCAAATTTCAACTCAATTAAAATGATGTCAATGCAGGAATATCTTTTAGCTCTATACGCGTGCATTCCTGGCATACAAACGCATGAAATATCTTCAAATGTATCGTGCTACAATTTGCATACAAACTGCATTTCGTCGTTATGCAGCGCAGCGTCGTTATAAGTTATTAAAAGCAATCATTATCGCGATACAGACCAATTATCGAGCATTGATGGTACGACAAAAAATGGAAAAGGTATTTAAACCTATTACTACGCATACTGAGCTTATTCGATATTTATTAACTGTTATGAAAATGAGTACAGATTTATATTATCGAGTTAACAAGTACATGCTAAGATCGTTTACAACTAGCCGTAATTTAAATAATTTTAATTATATTTGGTGGTGGTAAGATATTAATAATCGAACAAATTACTCAGATTTGACTGATTATTATTGTTAGCTTGAATATTTAAAAATTTTCCTTCTCCTGGTTAAATGTTATTCTGACAGCGATGTAAGAATAGTATTTGTTTGGTTTAGTTCTCGTTGTCGTAGGTCTATTTCAATGAAAAAAAAAACACTTTTTTATTTTCAAAAATCACTTTATTGGTCACAGAAATGATCATCTCAAGTAGTCTGAATAATGTTCAGCTCTTTGGATGATTGTTAGAGTATTCAACGGAATTCTCGCAGACTTTTAACGAGCCTTTCATTGGCTAATTAAGGAGGATTGCGTGAGAATTCCAAGGTCAATTTATTCCGCACATATTCAATTTAATACACTGTACTGCATTTCTTATAGAATTTCTGGAAATTTTGACATCTTTTGATGTAGAAGTGAAAATTTTTTCTTCTCATGATCATCTGTCTGATTATCTTACATATTTTCTTGATTTTCTGATAGATCAGATTGATGAAACCTGTTTATTGATACTTCTTCATTGAATTGATGTTTAAAATATTTTTATCATTTTTTGTTTTTCTGGAAAGGAACAATATTAATTATTGACAATTTTAATACTTAAACTGAAAAGTTTTCTTCCTATAAATCTCTAGCCTGTGTTTTTTGATTTGTCCGGTTTTCTCCTTGCTTTGGTTTTAAGTAATTTCTTCCATGCCTTTGTTGAGTATGTAGTGTAATACGATGCTTGATCGATTTTACATTCAAAATGCGATAGAAAAATTCATTTGTTCTACTTCTCTAGAAACTCGACTAATTTTGATTATTTTTTCGGGTGAACTCAAAAATTTTAATTACTCTTGTTCAGAGCTACCTCCTGTACTTTCAGGAACGCATTATATTTTGAAAGCAGAATTTGTAAATCTAATTTTTTTCTTAGAAATTGGGTTAATGCATAGGACACTTTTCTATACTTTATGCAGTATGGAAGTTTAATTATATATAAATCGACGCTGCGTACTCACTTTTAATTATCTATATTTGTTTTCCAATTATTTTTCTGTCAAAATACTCAGTCTACTCATTTATCAACATTTTCTATTTCAGTATTTTTTCATGTTCAGATTTCATACATCCAAATTATTTCGTTGTATCTCTTTCATTTTAATCTTGTATTGTAGTGAATTAAATTACTCATTAGAAATTCTTTCACTCAATATGACAAGTTAAATTGTCGAACAGTCGTTGACTCCACATTTTAACTAAGATCTAAATGTGTGTGTGTGAATTAAAAGTAGCAGTAAGTTTCAAGTAGTTGTCCAAATTTTGAATCTAATTTTAAATAATCTGCATCCTTTTTTTGATTTTAATCAAATGATTCTGTACGCCTAGCAATTTTATTGTATTAATATTTTGGCTCATTACTCATAATGGACCAAAATATTAGTACAGTGAAATTAGTTTCAATTTTAGTTACGGCACGAAGAAAAAGCGATTGTAATTCAAAAGTATTGGCGTGGCTGGTTAGTGAGGCGTCATCAAATCGAACATAACAGGAAGATCATCATGATACAATGTCAAGTACGGCAATGGCTTGCAAGGAGGCGCCTACGCCAACTGAAAGTAAGCATTCCAACTATAAATTTCGATGTAATCTTCATGAATAGCTATTCTCTTTTTGTTTGCTTTATTATTCATATTCATAGTATCGGTGTCGTGTCATTCTATTACTTTTCTGTTAATTTACTGATGATGAATTGCAAAAAATATGTAAGTAATAATTTTACTTGTTAATTAATTAACTAAATTATATGTGCCTAATAATCTTTTTTTTCACTTTACTGTTAATTTATTGGTGATAAATTGCAAAAAATACATAAATAATAATTTTACTAATAATCTAATATAAATAACAGAAATGAAACAGGTGGTAATATTTTTATTTACCGCTATTAGATATATTAGTCAAAAATATATGCTCAACAAGTAGGCAAGTAATGTGCTTAACAGCAGCATCATTGCTTGAATATTATTTTTTTTCACTTATTCAATTTCCAAAAAAAGAAATTTTTATTATTTTAAGAAATTTATTTTGTTTTTATGCTTTGATCAAATTGTTATTATTTACTTTTGAGAGCAAAAATTAATGGATTAATTAGTATTTGCGAATTTTTTTTAGAGCATCTGAATCGTATGAGAACAATAAATAATTTCTAAGCTTGCTTATTTAATAATTTTTTGCTTAACTCTTACTGAAGTTTATGTAATTTTAGATTGAGGCTCGGTCTGTTGGACATCTGCAGAAGCTAAATAGAGGCCTTGAAAACAAGATCATTTCACTGCAGCAGAAACTCGACTTTATGGCACGATTTTGTTGATATTTTAGTGCTAATGATAAGAATGAAATTTTTAATCTTTAAAAGAAAATTTGAAAATTAAACTTTGAGCTTAATAATGCTTAATACCGAGACAGATCGATGTTAGATAGTATTTGCTGAATATTTGTATTCGTAAGAATACTTATAACTGATAAACGTCATTAAGTCACAGTCCGAAAGTTTTGCTTATTATTGTTAGCGACCTATATTATCCAAGTATGCAAACTTTTCGATTACCATCTACTTTCTTGGCAACAGCACAAATTTTTAGAATGTTGTAAGTTTAAAAAAACTAAATTCAAATTTGATGCGTAAGTTTTTTAACTTCAAAAATTTTCATTTATCAGTAAGTCTAAATTAAACAATTGAAAAAACATTTATCCTACGATTTAATCCAGACTGCAGAAAATGGTCGATTATGGACAATTTCGGCAGAAGCTGATAAAATGCGGGCAGAAATGGCAAACTTGGAGACACAAAGGTTTTTCTATGTTATATCTAATCATAAATGCTTTATTTAAAATTTAAATTTCTCCTTAACGAAATTCGCGATTTTTTTCTTTAAATCAAAAATTCATTTCATTTTTTTTATTCCTAGAAACTACTTTTTTCTTTTTCTTCTCTTGTTGAAGAAAAACCCGTTTTAAAACAATTCTTGATGCTAACTTTCTTGTGTATGAAATGGTTTTCACTTTTGATTTATTGTCAATCTTATTTGTATTGGAGCGCTAAAGGAAAAATAATAATTCTTAATAATTGGCACATTAATTTTTTAAGGAATTTCGAATTTTATCCTTGAAAATTCGTATTCATCACTATTTTTTTCTATTTTTCTTTCTTTTTATCATTGTGTTCTTTTTTTATTTTTTGAAAGATTATTTCTGTCACATTGAATCACTGTTCAATCAAATATTTTTCTTTGTTTTTCCGTCACTATCTTGAATTTTTACTAGTACAGTGATATTTAATAATCATTAATTAACTTTCTAGACTCGCACTATGATAACTTAATCAAAAGCTGAAATATGTATATAATAAAGTATTCAAAGTATATCCAATGCATATGAGATACTTCTAAAGCATATAACTTTTTAGCGATGAATATACATTCAATTAGAGGGTGAATACAATTAGAGAATTGTTATTATTACAGGTGTGTACTATTGGCTACTAAAGCACATGCGGAAGATTTGGAAGCAAAAGTGAAATTGCTAGAAGCTATTCGAAAAGAAGAAGCGGCAAAGAATACTAAATTGGAGGAAGAACTGCAAAATACGAAGGATGGATTGAAAATGGTTATTCTTTATTTCTCTTCGTAATCGATGAAAAAATTAGACGTTTTATTGCTATTAGATGTTTTATTGCTATTTAGAAGTAAATCTAAGATATAAAAAATTTTTATCAAAGAGCTTCAAACAATCGAAGGTTAAAGAATAAAATGTCATTATTTAACATATATCTGAATCTGTGTATGTGCTATATATAGGTTGCTTGCCATTAGCTGATTCAAACCATGGCATGATAGCGATATTTCAATAGATGATAGCGACAAAAAAAATGGAAGTATTGAAAGTTGTTCAACTTTTGTCTGCACGACTTATGTTGAATAAATCTTTAAGTCAGTTTCTTTTTTCAAAAAGTTTACCAGGAATTTCAGGAATGTGAAGGAGCAATTGCTAAATTAAATGCTTTGAATATCGAGTTATCAAGTCTTCGTATGCGCTACAACAATTTAACAAAGCAGAAAAAACTAGTGGATACCGAACTGGCCAAAGGTTGACCGTTTTACATCTAAATTAAATATTTGCAATGAAATCTTTAGTTATCAAAATTTTACATATAATAAGAATTTTATTAATTTTCATTTTCTGTAAAGACAAAAAATGATAAAAGATTTTAAAAGTTAAATTGCTTTTGCGAGTGGAATCAATTACCATTTTTTATTACATGAAAATCGTTAAAATATTCACTGCTACAGAAAGGAGTCGCTGCCTGGCATCAGAACAAGAAATAGCACAAATGCGTGAACAGTTACTTGCAAATGCAAATCTTTTGGCCAGTCCAGCATTAAGTCGAGCTGGAAGTAAATTTTTTCAAAAATTAATTTGCAATCCTAAATTCGTCATCCGTTGCTGCATTTTTTATTTTTTCCGTTTTTGACTCTTTCAATAGCAATCTTATTTTACTTAATATACGCATTTTTTAATAATATTATTATAGCAGATTCCCAAGTAAAACAAAAATTTTTAAATTAAATATTTTCAGAAAATTTAATCTCTTAAAGCATTAACGGCATTTGATTCATATCTGTTAGTTTCTTTTTGTTACTGACTGAATAAAATTTACGCACTTTTGCATAAATTTACGTAGCCTTTTGGAGCTTTAAGTTTTTAATAACTGCTGAAATATACCAAATATAACACTAACGATTGAGTAAATGATTTATTGTAGTGAATGACCCGTAGTAAGAAATTAGCTTACGTTGCAAAATAATCAGAATCATGACACTATTGATGGAATGAGGTCATCCTTCATTTCTTTTTGTCATCAGGAATTTATATGACCGGATAGAAAATATTGACGATAACATCATCTTTTCAGGTATACGACTCACTCAAAAAAGTTTAAATCAGTCGGCTCTGATTGCTGCTAAAAATGGTAAAATAGTTACTGTTGGTGTAGACGATAATGTGATGGATGAAATGGTCCTTATACTTAAACAGCAGCATATTATTAATGTGCTTCGCTCCAAGTATGCTTATTTAGTTTGTGACGATAAACTGCTTACTCTAAGCTGTTCATTAATTTTTGATTATACAAGTACAAATCTTATCATTTTAATTAAAGTTCACATTTTTTTCTTCATATATACAGATTAAAATTGTAATAAGCGAGAAAAGAAATTATGATCTTTCAATATGTCTTGGAAGATTTTAACTAGGAATCCATGTTGCTTGTCCAAGAAAAGTGAAATTTGTTATAGTCACGTTGAGAATACTGCTGTCAACTTCTTGCAGAATGGAACAACTTTCAAGAGAAAATGATCGTTTGAAATTAATAATGGATGCAAATATGCTGATCGAAAATTTAGATAAGCGAACAACTATAAGAACTTTTGAAGCGCAGCGACTGCAAGTAAGTTGCGTTTGTGCTTTTAAAAGTTTTAATTCAAGTTGTAGGATTATTAGAAGCGAAAGGATTCAAAAAAAATTTTTTTGATGATATACAGGAAGTAGAAAAAAATTTCCATCATTATAGGAGCTCGAATTAGCATATACAAAGCTTAAAGATGAAATGGGACGATTACTTGACGAGAAACTACGAAATGGTTCTGAAGCAATCAATTTTCGATCGTTTGTTGAAAAAATATTGGAAGAAAATGATAGGTAAGCGATGGTTATTCTTCTATATATTTGTTTCCAAAGAAAGTATATTTTATCTCTGTCTACTGTTCTTCAACTGTTGATTCTACTATAGTTTAAGCAAAGTTAATGTGTGATTAGCCATTATAATGTATACATCCGTAAATTTTCCAACTAACAATATTTAATCTTGTAAAAACCTTTCATGATGGTAGAACTGGAATGCGCTGGAATACTTCGTTACTCATTTGTTTATATTACTGATCTTATCAATGTATATTACATATGCTGTAAAAATTGTAGCCATTTTATGATGAAGTTTCATAGTATAAATATTGTCTTTTAATTTTATGAAATTTTTTAATGTTAGCTATCGCAAATTTTTTTTTTTAAAAAGTACTTTCGCATTCAGTGAACATAAGTTTAAAATTATAGCATTACAAATTTTTTTGAGGCGCCGAGAAGAAGCTGCTGAATTACGAGCTATATTAGCGGCACGTTTCGAACAACGAGCTCAAGCTTCAAATTCATCGCATCCTGATCAATGGTCTGGTACACATAGCGATGATGATTCCTGCAGTGACTTCGATGAAGAATTGAGTTTGGAACGGCAATGCCGACAGTTCAAATCACATATACAGTAAGTAATAATTCTTTTTAGTTATTTTGCAAAGACTTTATAGGAATCATTCATCATTAATTTTTTTATTACTTCATTATGCAGCTTTCCATAACGTTTATGTTTTCTACATTTTTTAATCATTGTAATTATTAATGCAATTAATGTAAAATCTTCTTTGTGAATAAAAAATCGCGTTGCTTAGCATTAGAAAATTTCGTAAAATTAAAAGTCATCCGTATGCTATGAAATTTCGTAAAATAATTATAATTTTATAGCAATTCAATCCAAGTGAGAAACTTTCTAAATATATGTTTGAAATGATGATATTTTTGAATTTTTGTTTTTTGAAGTCTCTAAAAACCGCAATTTTAGAATATTATCACGGACAATCACCGAAAGGAATGCAGAAATTGAGCGATTGGAACATCGTTTGAATGAATTAGCAACTTCGAAAGTAAGTGATTTTTTTCGAGGTCGTATTAGGAAGGAATATTAACTAAACTTTTATTTACCCAAACTCTATTAATTATCCTAACAAGTTTATTTAATGAATAGACATAAATAAGATTGTACGTCAGTCAAATTTGAGAAACAACTGAAATAGTAACTAATTACAAGTATTTACATAAGATATCAGATAGCAAGTCACATGTTCTTGTGGCATGCATAATTTATATGATTTATTAATAATAGAAATGATAACTTTTAGTTAATTCAGTTAAACTCAGAAATCATGTTTTTTAAATCTATTTTGGAGAAGAAAGGTTTGGACAGGTATAAAATTTACTTTAGAACTTGCCATTACAATTTTTGTATCTATAAATAAATTTAAGATGTACTTAAAAATTACTTTAGAACTTTGTTTTTTTTTCTGTTTTATTATGACAAACTAAATATTCAACTGTTTATATATGCGAATATTCTGTGTGCGGGCATGTCTTACGACATAATTCTAACCAGTGAATACTTTTTGCAATTTGAATGTTATAAGATAGTGGAGAAAGAAATGGAAAAATTAGAAAGCAGTTCGATTTATATATTTTTTTTTCTATTTTCTTTATTTTCAATTTACTATCAAATTTAGAAGGAAAACAGCATTAAAAAATAATTGCTATTGATTCTCTTTTTGATTAATATTGCCAATCGTTTACACAGATGATTTCCCTTTCTTTTATGACGAAAATTTTTTTTTGTTGTTTCTATGCATCCTTAATTCATTGAATTCATTGAAGAAGGAAATGAATATGTTTTTTTTGAAATTCTACAACTCATTTTTTGAGATTCGAGGAAATCAAAAAAAAATGTTTCGTTTTTTTGCATTAAAAAAAATCATCGTTACATAATACATTATGTATAATATAATAATTCAGTATTAAATAGTCTCTCAACGATGCTAGAATGATTTCAGATAGTCATTTCTCAAAATATTTTAAAGTTTGATGAATGCAACGGGACGAAAATTTTGTTTTATTGATTTATAATTTTAACATACACATACAACTATCTCGTCCTCTTAATGTTCTTTTTAAGCATTCATTTTTCTAAAAAGTTTCAAAAAATTTTAATTACTTGAAATTCAAATTT